AAACCCCAGAAAAAAAAAAAAAAAAAAAAAAAAAAAAGAATATCCCCGCAAAAAACTTTCATGCTGTCAGAATTGGGGCTTTTGGAAGGTGGCTACATCACGAGTGTGTTGCTGTTGTGGATGGATTCGTGCACTGGTGAGTTAAGAGCATAAATGTGTTAGGAGGTGGGTCCTCTTTGGACAAGGCGGGTTATGGGGCTGTGACCTGGAAGGGTGTATTTTCCTTCCTGGTTCCTCTGTTTACTCGCTGCTTCCTGGTTGCCATAACGTGAGCAGCTTCCCACTGCCAGGCCCTTCCGCCAGGCCATCCCTGCCTGGGAGCCTGCCAGCCACGGAATGAACCTACTGAGACTGCGAGCTAACACAAACATTTCCTCCTTTAAGTTGCTGGTGTTGGGTGTCTTAGTGAGGAGGTGAAAGCGATGAAGACAGTACGCCATGATTTGATACACAGTGGCTAAATATGCAATACTGAGAATGTCGTAGTAAGGAGCACTGACTCTAGAACCTGACAAGGCCAGATTCGAAGTTTAGTTTGTTTATTTCCCACTTGAGAGATTTCTCCGATTTTTATTTTCATCATCTAAAAGTAGAAAATAAGATGTGGTGCCAGGGTCATAAGTTGCTCCTAGAAATAAGGAGCTGACTTGTGGAAAGTGCACAGAGTATACTTACAGTCAAAGGGTCTTTTGTTACAGTCATGCACCACATAGTGACCTTTCGATCAGTGATGGAGAGTGGTCCCATTAGGTGATAATAGAGCTGAAAAACTCCTATCGACTACTGACATCACAGTACAATGCATTACTCAGGTGTGTGTGTGTAGTGGTACTGGTATAGACAAACCTACTGGGCTGCCAAGCATAAAAAAAGTACAGCCCATTCAGTTATGTACACTGCATTATATTTGACAGTGATAATAAATTACTGTTACTGACTTGTGTGTTTACCACACTATACTTTTATTGTTAGACTGTACCCCTATTTATGAAAAGAAAGTTGTACTGTGAAACACTATGTTGTTTTAGGTCAGCACGACCTCATAATTTTGTGTTCACCTTGTTTTTTCTTGTGGTTGATTTAATCTTGTGCTGTTTTAGTCATCATGGCCCTAGAAAAATGTGCAGGCTCTACCATGTATGTATATATACCAGACAGCCTCATATAGCCTGAGTGTGTAGAAGTTATGCCATCTGTGTTTGCGTGAGATACTCTAAGATGACCACATGATGATGAAATCTCTCAAGTACAAAGTAATCACAGTGCATCCTTGTCATTAAGTGGTACATGACTGTAGTATAATTACTATGACTTTTATTATCACTATTAATATTATCATCATCATTGTGATTTTTAACTCATCAGAGAGTCAGTCACAGATACAAGTGATTAAGAGGTCCAGATGCCATCTAAGTGAGATGGCAACATGGCATCAGTTTTTAGATTTCATGTGCAGAATGGTTCCATGAAATTCCAATTAAGATTTTTTTAAAGGACTTTCTATGTTCTAGACCCACCACAAGGACCTGTATGTGTCTGATCTAATCTAATCCTCACCATACCTTTGAAAATGAGATTTAAATATTCCCCCTTTATACTTATCAAAAGTAAAGTCCAGTGAGAATAAAGAATGTTCCCATGTTGGGAACTGAATGGTTGGTTAGTGGTAGAGTCCAAGTGTGTATACAAGGTTCTACAATACATGGACTTCCCTTTGGCCATCTGGAAGATGCTGTTTTGAA